GCTAATAACAATGACAGTCATAAAGAAAAAAGCGTTTAATTCCGTTTCTCTCTTCGTAACTAGCGAAGCTTTTCTTTCCTTGGCTTTAAGAATATTTGTCGCTTTACAAGGGAAACCCTTATGGAATTATGTTTTCGTTTAGAATGTTTTCATATTTGAAATTCAATGCTTTTAAATTTAGGAACAAAAAACGTGAAAAGGAAAGAAAATTGTAAGGTTTTCGGTTGATTGTGTAGAGTTTGGGACACCTAAATAGTTCATAGAACTAACAGAGCAGGTGACCCAAAACAAGAATACGAGCAGAAGAATTAATATAGTGACAAAATAGCTGTTTTACATAAAAAGCATTACTTCACAAACTAAAGAGTAGAATATAAGATAATATAATCATTAAAACTTCAGGAATTAATAATTGCATTATAATCGTCAAGCATAGAATAGTTGATATTTTGACGAAATCTAGAAACAGGCTTGATTCCCTTGACATCAGTTGATACATATAATGAATTCCAAAGTTTGGTACCATTGCAACGGTAAGAACGAATGCTGCATTGAGTGGTGTGAACCAATTAACAAACAGTTCATCATTCTGTGATCGGCGCGTGGGAATAAATGGAATATAATGGATTGAAATAATCAGCAAGAAGGGCTTAATTTATGGTACCACTGATAGACAAAAAAGTGTCTCTTAGAATTTTCTTAATATTTCTCTACATGTGCACCAATATGATGTTCGTCATATTTCTCTTCACGTGCTATCCATAACACTTTCTCTTAAATACCAATAAGGGCCTGTTTACATGGAGGTAGGGGAGACCAGGTAGGTGAGGTAACCCACTTAGGTGGCGTAACCCGCCTGTCCATATAATCTCTCGTTTTAATTTGATAACGTTTACGTGTTAGGTAGGGTGAGTTGCCAGGGTGGGTAGCCCAGTCACGTAACCCTCTCAGCTGGGGTCAAATTTTGCCATGTAAACGTTACACGATGGGGTAACCCGCCTAGCCGAGGTAGTCGTGATACATCAAATTCGCCCAAAATTCACTTTGGTAATGGCTTTGCGTCATTATTAAAGGTAGCAATATAAAGCCACAGGTTGCAGCAAGAGCAGCAAGTGACTGTAGAAGAGCATTAATCGCCACAACATGTGGTTTGCCCTCATTTTTCTTGTTTACGTGCTTAGCGACCATTCATTGATCTTGAGAAAGTGTACCCCGGGATGGCGGGGTTGTAAGATTGCATCTAAAGGAGTTATTTTTTTACCTCACCTACCAGGTGTCCCTCACCTCCACGTAAACAGGCCTTAAGATTTTTTCTAAGAATGTTTTCATTTACATTTCTCTTCACGTGCTACCAATAGGCACGGGATCAGTCTTCTGCCATCCGTCTTCTTCATGGATGTTTAAAGTCTGCAGCTGTACTTCTAATACATCCCGCCTTTTGGCACACTCGCCAGCTCGTTCCATTTCCCTCTCCGCCTCCTCTTTGTTCCCCAGATCATTCAGGACAACGGCTGTCTCTTGGTGACTAAGTACTAGTTCTTCGTGGGTGTCCAACACTTCTTCTTGTAATTCAATCGCGTGTTGAAGGTGTTTGAGAGCCCTGAAAGATGGTCACGGAATCAGACATAAGCAGTACTGAAATCAAAGGCCTTATAACGCGCACCTCTTTCATTTGGACATTTGCAAAAGACAAGCTGGGGAAGTGGAATTTAGTTGCTATGAATTACATTTTACAACCTCGTTTTCATTGCCCTCCATTACATAAAGGTTGCAACTATCAAGAACGAAGAGCGTAATATTTATTTTGGGGGAGTCTGTACACAGGCTATTTCTACAACAATGGGATGGAGGGAACTTTCACAAAAGCTGAATTGTATGGGGGGGGGTCATTTCTAAAAAGCTAGGATGAATTTAGGGTCGGTTTCAAAATCTTCAGGCTTTCTCGAATAGCCGTGCCCCCGGTCACAGGTAATAAACGAAGACCCCTTAACTGTCCACCCCATATTGAGATTGTAGAAATCAACTCTCCTCTCTCAGATGGCGATCCTTAAGCGTATGGTAGGGATAAAATAATCCGTTTTTGCGCTAGAATCTCATTAACCTGCGCAGGAATACATTAACACCGATAACGTCGTAATGTTTTGTCTTTAACTCATGAATAAAATGCGGTGCGATAGAGGGTCGATGTGGAGTCCATAATTTGTAGGTGGAAGAGGAGGAAAACAATAAATATGTGGTGGTGGTGAAGAAGAAAAACAATTGAAATGTAGAGAAACAAAAAAAAGAGGAGGAGAATGAAAGAAATTTGTCTTTGGTGGTGGTAGAAAAAGCTAGCTTGACTTCGTCCTCAATTAAATATGCAGGATTTGAGCGCCAAGCATCAGTAAATAGGAACTTTAACCATTTTTAGACAATAAAGGAGCAGCACAATTACGTTACGACTCAGTAATTTAAAGTCATAGGCGAGTTATTCCTTCCATAAATCTATTTATACTACTTTCGGTTCGGGCAAGCTCAGGCGTACTAGGAATACGCAAAAGTGAAAATGACGAGAATCGACCGCATGTTATTCGTGAGATCAAGTCAAATAAAGACAAAAGGCTATGCCGTCATCGGTGTTAATGTATTCCTGCGAAAGGTAATAAGATTCCTACGCAAAAAAACGGATAATTTAATCCCTACCATACTACTCTTTAGATCCTAAATCAGTCCTTTGTCTTAAACTGATGTGATACAGAAGCCTTTATGAAGACACCCGGGTCGCTTACAGGTGATTTCCTTGAAGATTGTCTTTGGAAAACAACAAAGCTAGAGCTGTGGAATATATGTAGTCAGATTCAATGATAATCCTAAACTTCGTTTCAGAATAATCGCATATGCTTTTACACTTACACATGACAGTGACGGGGATGGTGGAAGGATTTTTTGGGGTTTGACATTCTTGATTCCGGGATGATGTCACTCTGCATCATGAATGTTTTTGATGAAACAGAAAATGTTCTTGGGTGTCTTGAGTCTTGAAAATTCAACATGGGATATTTTCTTCGTGGGCGGGGGGTACTTTTTAGTCCAGGGACTTTTTCGGTTTTGTTGGAAACCCTAGGAACTTTGTTGGCTTTTGATTTTTACCCCCATTCGATCATCCCCGACAAATCCGGAGTACCCCCTTGTGCTTATTAACTGTTTAACACATCCTACTGAAGGTATTTTTTGCAGCATGCGTACCGTTCGCTGTCCTTTTTCGCAGAAAGAGCCACACCCAAGTCATAGTGCGATCTCGCAGTCTCCTGGTGGCGTCCTAACAGAGTTTGCCGGATATTCAGCGCCAGTGTGGCATATTTAATGGCGTTGTCATACTCGCCCAGTTCGTGGTAACTTTTGCCAATCCAACTGAATGTTGTTGCCACAAAGGGGTGGTCTTTGCCAAGGATAGACTCATATAGTGGTAAAACAACATTTCGTCTGGTTTCAATAGCTGCCAAATGCTTTCGTTGTATCATAAGGGAAGCTATACGAAAGAAGGAAAGTAAATTTACTACGTAAAGTTTCGATTAAACGTACTATATGCTTTAAGATTACGTCTTTCCGTTTTAGAGTAATAGAGATAAATAATAAATCCAAGGCTGATTTACTTAATTAATTTTTTAGGCTGTAAACCCGAATGAGCACTGATTTAGTCAAAGAAGCCAGAGGGAAACGTAAAAAAAACCTACAAGAAAAATCTTTTATTAATACCCCAGTCGTACTTCAAATTAATTTCCCGATTCTTGAGTACGAGAGCAAAGGAACCCCTTGAGATTTTGCCGAAAAAGCGCCTTTTTATGGTACTTTAGCCGTTTCTTGGTCGCCATCTGGCCAAAACAACGTCAAAGTCGAGAGATTGGATAGCTTTTGTTCCTGAAACCAAATTACAATAAAGTTTGGGTATTCCAGTGGATAAGGGAAATAATTAGCCTTCTGCCAGGTCCTCCTTGCTCTTTTCGCTTGGCGTTTTCTAGGGGTGGTAAATGTTTTTGCAAAACCGCCGAAGGGCACAGTTAAATTTTCAAAGAGGTACAGTTGGTTAGTGGAAGCAAATTTTATCCACATTTTGTAGTGGAAGTTACATGATTTGTTGCATTTTTTCTCTGCTATTTTCGACTGATTGCCGCTCATAGTGGTTTGATCGTGAAAGGTCTTTGTGACCTATACAAGTTAGGTGTTAAAGTTTCCTAAGTCTTTCAAATTAATGACGCCGTTTCATATGGTGGCACATGGGACGTTGTTCGGGGGGTAGGAATGTGACTAAACAGTTACATAAACTAACACAAGTAAAATATTGAAATGAAGATGCAGTGGCGGATCCACGGGAGGGGCCCCGGGGAGCCCGGGCCTCCCCCTTATTTTTAGACCAAACTGAAGGCCGAAGGGCCGAAAAACATTTTTTTGGAGACCGCCCCCCCCCCCCCCCCGGTTCTCAAGTCCGGGAACCGGCCCTGGGATATGATCTGCGCGGCTGTAATTGGAATATAAACAATTGGAAAAAACCAGGGAAAAACTGTCAATAGTAACACGGGCGCGCAACCCCTAGGCACTTCCGTTTTTAGTGTGGCGCACGGGGGAGTTTGGGGGGGGGAAGGAAATGAGCAAAAAAGTTTAAAAAAAAAAAAAAAAAAAAAAATATAAAAAAAAAGGGGGGGGGGGGGGCCCGGGGGGGGGCCGGGGGGGCCCGGCCCCCCCCCTTTTTTTTTAGACAAACAGAAGGGCGAAGGGGGGGAAAAAATTTTTTTTGGGGCCCCCCCCCCCCCCCCCCCCCCCGCCGTATCTGAAGGTCTGGAACCGTCGCTGAGATATGATCGTCGCAGTCGTAATTGCAATTAAAGCAATTGGAAATCAACCGGGAAAAAATTTCGATAGTTCAACGGGATTCGAACCCATGGCCTCTGCCTTAGCGCAGCAGTATGGTGGCCTGCTAACGCCATAGCAATTTTGCACTTTTTCGTTTAAATTTTGACACTTTC